TGGGCAGGAAATATTCCCTTCCAATCATACAGCGTCTTGAAAATTTTTATTTGATATCAGAAGAAAATAGAAAGTCCTTGTAACATCATGATGAAAAGTTCGGATTTTTTTCCAACTTTCAACGTAAAATATTGGACTCCACATTGGGACAACCTTTGAACATATTGCATTGTCAATTAATATCCAAGGATTTGCGCATATACCGTATGTGTACAGTAAACTGTATTATAAATTGAATACATTGTATATACAGGTACAGTACATACAGTATATATATACAGTACTATTTACAATTCGAGGAACAGAAGAAAAAGCTGCAAACAACACCTATCACATGGGCAAAGATCCTCACGGGGCCAGGGGTATCAAATAAAAATTCGCAATAAAATACTGTACAGAGAAAAGTACAGCTGCAGTGACAATTGAGCTCATTGACGGTCTCAAAAGACTTACATAAAAAAAATCTGCAATAGGTGCATTCTCACATCTCTGCAAAAACGTTTTCGAGAGACTCAATTTGAAAATTTTTAACATTGAGGAGTGTTGATCAAACGTGTTGTTACTACGCGACATCGTCGTATCAGTACATCATAAATTATTTTGTTTGGACTTCCAGGCGTAACTATGAACATATACTGTACATATACAAAAAGAAAATAAAAAACTGAAAGAAATAACTCACTCCAGGGAGAAGCACATCGCGGATTTCCACAGCCACAGCAATGTGCATCGCAGTCGGGAACGTGTCATTGGAACTTTGACTCTTGTTAACGTGGTCGTTCGGATGAACCGGATTCTTTGATCCCAATTCTCCACCCATCATTTGGATGGCTCGGTTTGAGATCACCTATACAGTATTAAAATTCTACATCACATATTTTATAGTCACCAGACAAGGCAACCAAATTCCAAAAAGAATGATGAAAACGAAGGCTGTCCAACTACAGCGAGCAGTCACGAGATTCGCAACCGAATACAGCACCATAATTTTATATTATCTGTACCGTGCTCTTCACATCGCAAAATCTATGCGTACCAAAATCGCATTTTAACGGAGCACTCAACAATTTATTTTCAATTTCATTTTTATCCTGCATCTGTATGTAGGAGCATTGCCACATTTGGACAAGAAGTTGATTCAAAATTTATTTTCAATAATAAATGGAGATGTAATTTTCTCGGTCCGTTCAAGAAATTACTCCAGAAAATCTTGAGAATACTCGACATCAATCTGTTTCCATCAAGAACTTTCACAGCACATCTGAGGTGAATCATTCAACATTTAAAACGGCAAGAACTTGGAATTATCTACTAATGTCTTGATGAAAGAAATGACGAGAACTGGCAAACCTTCTTCGACATCAAAATACAAGTAATTCAAAAGAACTTCGGACCAGACTAACCTCGTTGCAATTCATATTCGACTGAGTTCCACTCCCAGTTTGCCAGATGACGAGCGGAAAATGATCTTCATACAATTTTCCACTGATGAGCTCATCACAAGCAGCACTGATGGCATCTGCAACTTTCGGATCAAGTCCGTAGTCCTTGTTCACCTCAGCACAAGCTTTCTTCAATATTCCGAACGCCTGGATGACAGGTAATGGCATTCGCTCTTTCTTCCCACCAATAGGAAAATTAATCATGGACCTAGAAAAAATGAAACATTCAGTAACAGGAATGATTGACTTTTTGACAAAGACGAGCTGAACGCATTGTCTACAAATTTGACTCTTTCTCTTTTTTGATTATGTATACCGTAGAGTAATACTCGTGAAACAAGGAAAGCTGTTGATGGCGCCCACAGGAAGATTCAATCGCCTTCATAAAATAATTTTCTTCGAGGAAGCGTAACCGAAATCATGGATTTTATGAAAATTCTCCACAGCGATCTTGTCTACAACGAAATTCTCTATGATTCAGTACGAATTTTCTCTGGTCCAATCGGTTTCTCTCCACACGTTACAGGAGTTCACTACAATAAAGTTCAAGAGGCCAGAAAAAAATTCGTCGTGGAGAGTTTTCTGGTCACAACGAAATTCAAGTGACCAGAGAAAATATGGTCGTGGGTAGAGTTTCACTGTACAGTAGAGAACTAATACAACACGTGGAAAGAAGCCTACAAGACTCGGAAAAAATTCTTTACACAGATAATTTCGACAAGAAGTGCTTTTACTCCGTGAGAATCAAGCAGAACCTGCGATGATGGGCGTGCTTCGATTAATCCAAATACGTACAGGTGGACTCTTTTTACAACAAAATTCACAGGACCAGAAAATAATTCGTAGTGGAGAGAGTTTCGTTGCAGGGAGTCCACATAAATTTAGATTAATCGAAGCAGGCCCATCATCACAAGTTCTGCTGGATTCACACGCAGTAAAAACACTTCTCATCTAAATCAAAAGTACGTAAAAGAATAAGTACTGTACTGGACTCACCGCATGGTCTGCGCTCCGTACAACTTATCCGCGGGCACTTCCAATTCTCCGAACGTATCCCGCTCCTTGCGCACACCCGCAGCCATCTTCATCGACGCCGAAGTCACAACTGAACGAGTCGCTGTCGGGCACATCAGTCCGCTACCAGCGGCATGCCGGGGTTTCGCGGTTGCCAACAGCACTCGCCGGGTAGCCAACCAGCTCAGTGTCCTCATCTCCACAGTACAGCCAAAAAACGGAACAAAGTCGCAAGAAACAAAAGCGATATTTGCTCAATCACGACGCGAAACCTGATCGCGAAATGATTTACAACCTGAAGCGAAATAAATGACGATAACGTTAACGTCGAAAATTTTGTCGAGCAACCGATCGGAAACCAACTTAATTTTTGTTCTGAATAATTAATAAGTGTCATGACAGAAGCACCCAGTAGAAAATCAACAATGCAAAATTCACCCAAGAGACCATCAAAAAATTTTGAGTTGAGGAAACCAAGCATTTGTGTTGGGGAAAGAAAAAAGAATTACAGGAAATTGTAATTGGTGATATTCTAGGTCCTAAATTGCTTTTGAATAAGTTGACAGAATACTGAACAAGAAGATAAGGATTCATTCGCCCGATCAGTTTATCATTTATTGCATTTTTAAAACACATGAAGTTGCATTTTCATCGCTTTCCTCTTTCCCGTAAATAGAAAAATAGTCGAAAGGCCTCCAGGAAATTCGAGTTATGGAGCCTTGAGGAGGAAGGCCCTCGAGTTCAGGAGGTTTTACATGGTTATTTTTGTTGAAATTCAGACACGGACTTGATATGCATATTTTGACGAATTGTTCGAATTATCCAGGTTCAACTAAATTTCGGAACAAAACCTTCAATTTTGATGATTTCCAATACAGGCGGACTGCCCAAAACAACGCTTCATGAAGCTGAATCACTGTGGAGCGAATTCAAATTACAAAACCTCCGAATTCATGAATATAGGAAGAATATATACTGCATATTTGTACAGTATCCAGAAACATGCCTGTGCTTCACAAGCGATTCTTTCAAAGAGACGATTATCTGTACCTCAATCGATTTTCAAAGGACGCATAGTGAACAACTTCTTTACTTTCAGGAATATTTTCCACAGGGCGCTTTTCTTCCGTGACGAACTTGAGAAAAACTGCCGCTCAAATAAGATCCATATAATTCACTATGATTAATTGAACCTGCATTGCGAAAGCACCCACC